TTCCCTGAGATTTCAACACCACCAGGATTTCTCCTGACACACTTGTAATGAGACGTTAGAAAATCAGATAAAAACCAAACTTGTAAAGAAAAGCCTAACTGGAATTTATTTATACTGGCACACAAAAATTAACCTGTTCAAGACTGTAGTAAATGAAAACCTTGTTTCTAGCACTGTGTGTCCATGAAATAGGATTGAACACGTCACTCAAAATGTCCATCAGAAACTAAGGTCTACACGGCCTGGAAGAGGCACTGCCAAGTCAGGTTAGAGGCAGATGGGTGACGTTTGCTGCAGCTGCACACACCCTGTGGGCAATCCAGAGATTGTTCCAGACCGCAGGATTTCAACCTGAAAGTTTTATCAAGCCTGACTGACACTCGTCACATAGTTCTAGAAATAAAAAATGACTGAGGGATTGATTTCGTATTTGATGCTTGGTAAAAGGTGTGAAACTCCGGAGCTATTGAGTAAAAACTTAAATTATTAACCTTCATATGCTAAAAAGTGAATGTGGACCTGCAACATGCAACACCTCAAAACCACTCTTACTCCATAATCCTAAGTTACTTGGCAATAACTAGAGAACTTCAAAATGTGTTGCCCATATATAGGCACAGAAATGCTCCTGCTACAAGTATGTCAGTTCAGAAGTTGGGTTTCACCACGAACACTCTTGAAAATCAGTCAGCTTCATTCCCTGGACAGCGGTGGACAGGAACTACTAAAGATCTTTCATGCATGGAGAAAAGCTTCTTGTCTCATGGCACATGCCTCTAACACATCTCATCTATGAGTAAGATCTGGGGACAAAAAAAATGAGGTAGATCTACTGTTGCTGTACGCATGTCAAGAACAGTCTAACGAGAGAGGGAGGATCTGTCCCCAGTCAAGCCAACTTCTGCTGCTGCACTGGCAGAAGGCAGAGCAGGCAGGTTTCAATGGGCAAAGGAGGTGCTTATCAGGCTTTGGGGGCTACCCGGAGCTCATATCTGGGCATCCAAAGGAGTGACATAGGTGCCAGAGGAACTGCAGCAATATTGGGCTATGAAAAGAAGAAAGAGTGAACAGAAACGGTAACTTCAAGTACATAAAAAAGAAAGAACTGCTACCTTCAGGTCTATGAAAGACCAGTCTGACTGCTTTAGGTCTGATGGGGCTCATTTTCCCCACAGCGCTGTGCTTTGTGCCGGTAACACACCGGTGTTTTGGCTCTTGCTGAGCTGCCTCTCCAACATTCCCAGCCCTCTTGGGAGGGGACACAGCTGGGCCAGCTCCCCCAGAATGACCACAGGGGTATTCCACAACACTTCAAGTCTGCTCAGCAGTAAAAGCTAAGAAAAAGGAGAAGGAAGAGGGGGCATTTGTTATTGATGTTTGTCTTCCAGATCAACCACTACACACACCCAAGCCCTGCTTCCCAGGGACTGGCGGGCCATTGCCTGCTGATGGGAAGCAGATAATTAAACCTTTTATTTCCCTTCATTTTTGCAGGCAACCTTTGGTTCGGCTGTATTAAACTGTCCTCCTCTTGACCCATAAGGCTTTGGTTCTGTTTTCTCTCCCCTGTCCAGCTGAGGAGGGGGAGTGACAGAGCAGCTATGACGGACACCTGGCATCCGGACAGGGTCAGCCCATGGCACTCAAAAAGGGAGAGGAGACACCTCAGGGAGGATGAACTAGAAGCCTCTGCACACTGAGCACAGGTATGTCCACCTGGCTGAGAGATGAACGGATGCGAGAAATGAACTGATCTCGAACACTAAAAGACATCCAGCAACCGAGTGTAGGCAGATGTAGCTGGAACATCTGTCTTGCCTCCATCTGAGGTACCCGAGGGAAGAAAATCTCAGATATAACAACAAGGCTCAGACTGGTCCTATGGATAAGAAGAAAAACTGGGAAAAAATAAAACGTACTTTGCTGAAAAAACCCCAACAATTAGGGAGAGAATGAGTTTCTATGTGCAGCTGTTCAAGGCAGACAAAGACTGGCTGGAATAACAAAATTATCTCCAGATCAGGCCATCGGAAAGACCTGTGAAGCTTAAGTGCCCCGTGCCTGCCCCGCCTTATGGGGAAGAATGGGAAGAAAACCTGGTAGACACGTCCTGGACAGGTACTGGCAACACACACAAGATCTGACCCTGAACAGTTGAGCAAGCACTCAACAAAGAACAGAAAATAACTTCCTTGAAGTGTACAGCCACTTTTGAAACCTGCGTATCTTATTTATTTTTCATGATGACTTCCATGCAAGCGTTAGAATAAGAGCCGTTAAAATGTCATTAAAACACGAGCACATCTAACCATCACAAGGTCACTGAGAGCACAACCCAAGTACTCTGTGTTCTGCAGTCCCCAGGACTCAGTTGTATTTAAGAGACCTATTGACAGACCTATGACATTAATTGATTGGGTTTTTTTCTCTTGCAGAGACCCTAAGCCACAATGTGCAGCTACAGCAGCAGGAAAAGTCATCTTGTCAGCACAGCGTATTCTGTTTGGAGCTCTCTCAGCAACCTAAGAGAAGAACTTAGGTCACTGAGAAGTTTGCCATTACACCTCTAAATAGAAGTCCCAGGAAAGACTCTGGATACAACAGTCATCCATAGAACAGTTCAAATTTGAGGGAATTTTCCTAAGCTGCTTACCTATTTGAGTAAACCAAATCTGTCTGTTTCTCTCAAATACCATTACATCTGATTGTCAAGAAAAGACAGTGGTAGAAACTGCTATTCTTCCACAGAAACATTACAGTACTCAGATTAACAATTATTTAAAATATAACACTGCATTTTTAAAATTGTATTCTGTCATATCTCTAAAGCTGATCCCCAGAGGTACACATCAACATTTTTGCAGGACCAATTCCTTAGTGATTTCTCAGGAATATTTTTCTGCACTATACTGAAATAGGGGCAAAAAATATTCTAAGGAAATCTAAGCAAGTCTGAAAGTTCAATCAGTAAATATTTAAGTATTCTCTGGTTGCAGAAGAACGGCACAGTGCTAGCTTACTGCTAACACAATTTACTAGCTCAGACTTCACACCAAAAAAAAAAGCAGCTGAAATCCAGGTACTGGTATTTGCACAATGCTGCGCTCGAGTTAACAAGTTGCGCTGGTTTTGATCAGGTTCTGGACTTTAAGCAGGATTTTTCCCTGAAGTTTCCAAAAGCGGATGTTTTAACACCACAAGAGCGATGTGTCCCAGTACAAAAGCTGTACAACAAGTTAGCTTATTTGAAATACTCAGAGATTTTTTTTCCAAGATGTTCAACACACTCATCATTCACCAGTAGTCAGATGTCATTAATTAAGTACCAGTCGATCTGCTTCACAGCAAATAGACTAGTTCTGAGGCAGAAGTTCAACAACCGAACACAGATGTGCTGGTGCACATCTGCTCATCTGGCTGCCACTGGCCGACCTTTGCCAATACACTTTCAAAGGAAAACTCTGTTCACACAGCCACGGTTTGATGTGGATGGAAATATTTTTACTCCACAATGTTGAAATCTGAGAAGAAGACAGCCTCATGACAGCAGCAAATGATGAGAAAGACTTAATCCCACTGAATGCTTCCAATTACAACTCGATCTCAGCGCTGCTTTCACTGAAAATTAGGAGTACGTGTAATCACCTTGCACTTAGTGTCCTCAGCTACATAACTCTCAACAGAAACACACCTGGTGTGATAAGCTAATATCTCTTACCATTTTTTAAAATTCAGAAGGTTCAGAACCTTGATTTTATAGCCCATTTGGATTTAGTCTATGATATTTCTTCAAAACTGAGATGATTCTTTTTTCTCTATTTAAAGAAAAAACGTTCAAAGGATCACTTTAATGACTTGGATACACCTAATTGAAAGGATGTTAAGTTCAATCTAAATGCAGAAGTTTTTGACACTACAGCCACACCAGCCAGAGGTATTAAAAAAAGTAATAAATAGAATGTGTCACCAAAAATGTAAGCACAAATGTAACTGAGTTAAAAAGAAAACCTCAAGAATGGTGAATGCTGTATTTTGCCTGGGTACCCTAACGAGCTACGCAGGGAAAACATTTTACCTTTCCAATCCAAGCTGTACCTGCATTGCAGAGCTGGGGAACTCTTCAGTAAGAACACAACTATGTTGATCAAAGCTTAAGCACAGACTTAAGGGCCTACACGCTAGCTATAGGCTATTAAGAGTGAACTTCAACCAGACTTTTGGACACATGTCTTTATACTGAGAAAACTACAAGGGAAAAAACAGTAAGTGAAAGGACAAGGTTCGTTATGTCAAAGGAGCAACTTTTAGGTTAAGATACATCCCTAAACCCACTGATGTCCTGGGTTGATATAAAAGTTGATTTCATCACAGTATGAAAAAATGAGGAGAGGGGCCAAAAAATCAAGTGTGTGTGTGTGTTAACACGCAAAAAAAAGTTTACACTGTCAGATAGGTGTATATTGTAGCATTCAGATTTTTAGCTTAAGGTGTGTTTTCATATGTATCTTGTTTCTCAGAACTGGATGAGAGCTGGACCAGTGGGAGCCAGGACACACCCATTTACCATAGGATAGATCATGTGCCAATGCTAGAATCTTTCTCCTGTCCCTTCTATGTCTTATTTTAAATCCAAGTTCAAATGACCACAGCAGACACTTGAGCAAGTTCTATAATTGAGCCCATACACCTGCACTCACCGTTATTGAACATCAGCACCTTCAGCGGGAGGGGAACCTCTACCAAACCGAGTACTTGAGCTCACCCTAGCACTCCTACTACTCCACAACAGCTGGTTGGTAATGTGCTGCTTATTTGTAGGTTAAACAAAAAAGTATTTAAAGTACTTAGAGCTATAGTAAAATATTTAAAGAAAGGGTATTTAAAGTACCAGTAAATTCAGCTGATGCCTGGAACTCAGAATTGTAAACACAAAGCAGAAGAACAGCAATGCACCTTTGAAATACAGTAACAAAATTAATTAAAAAAAAAAAGTTGCTTACACTGTTGACTTGGATCAGAATCTGTGGTCATCTTCACGTAGTTTGAGGGGAAGAGACCTGTCACACCACCAATTTCTCCTTGCCACCAGTCAGCATCATCCTTGCTCAGAACATTAATGAGCTGCCCTTTGGAGAAACTGAGCTCATCTTCATTGTTTGCCATATAATCGTACATCGCTATCACTTGACACACTATGAAGAAAAAACAAGCAGAGCACAACACTGTTAACACAGGCTATTTCTGAGTGTCGTACATAACCACAGGAAAGCAAACTGTTACATAAGAAAAATGCCACATCTTATCTTCATGTGGAACTGCCGTCCCTTTTCTTTTACTTTTTTTATTCATTGGGCCAGGCAGCAATCTTTATTTCCACTTTACATATCCATGCCTTTACATAGCAAACTGATTCACTACTAACTAACTGATGCAATACTAACTGTATTGCATCTACTGACATTCTAAACATTTAAAGATGTAACCATGCTCCTAGCTCACGTACTGGCTCGGAAAACAAAGCGAGTTTGATTATGTTACAGGTGATACTTGTGAGAAAAATGTGGCAAAGGCAGAGGAAACGTTCGTTAGCCAGTCGGGACCTGCTAGTTTAGTGAAAGGGAAGTTTGCCCAGTAATACCCAGGAAGCTGCTGTATAAGCAAATCACAGCTGTGGAGACTGTAATGTAAACATGCAGAACCCAAAAATGCTCCTTCCCTGTCCAATAATCTCATTTGTATCCGGCCATTCAAATGGAAAAATCTAGTGGAAATTTGCTGCTGGGTGTCCCTCCTTATAAGGAGCAGTGCGAGTAATTCCAAAGGTGTTGGCCAATGATTGCTAGTTTTCTGTGAGACTTTTGGCAGCACTTGGAAACGTGGCGTTTCCAAATGAGAAAAGCGTGGCTCTTCGGTGCATTCGGCAAAACTCAAAAGCTCTTGCCACAGAATATGGTGATCCTCGCAGATTTCTGGATATAAACATCTTGTATGACTGAGACTTTCTGTTGCACGCTAGGAAGGGACCCTAAAAGAATTGTTTTGATTAAGAAGTTGTGAGATTTTACCACTCTCGGACAGAGGCAAAAGCCAAATGGACAAGTCTGTCAAAAGACTCAGATTCTGACTCAGGCTTTACCTTTCAGGGTGACACCACAACCATACTCAGCCATTTAAAGTACTATTTATGTTAGTTATGTAATTCAGACTAGCATCTGAACAATTGATGCACTTACATAAAACACTCTAAATGGAACATTAAGTATTTTTTTTTCACCTGAGGGAGCGGCAGATGTGGTTCTTTCACTGCTCGGACCCAGTAATTTCACATGGCTGGCAGGGAACCATCCTTTTTGTCTCTTTTTCCCTCTTGCCTGTAAACATTTATAATGGTTACTAAACAGTTAAGTAAACAAATAGCCCACAGACTGGGAAAAAAGGCAACAAATATACCACACAGTTTTGCCAACGGAAGACAAAAAAGTCAGGCTTCCAAACACCAACTAAATACTAAATAGAACTCGGAAAAAAAACCTGGCTAAAGCATAAAACATGTTCAAATAAAGTTGCACCTCAGTATGTCCTGGTAAATGTATTAATCCAAACTTTGGAATTGCAGTGAATTATTTCAGTGCACAATTTAATTGTAGGGCTGAAAATCTGCTCTATGCATCATATCAGGAGTCTCTAATGAGATACCCAGAACAGAGGTAACAACTACCATAAGCTACCTCTGAAAATCCTGACTTCAGTATTTGGTATCACTTCCTACCTAGAACAGCATGTGAGAGTTTGAAAAAAATTTCCTCATTTTCTGGTCTTTGCTTTTTTAGTCCCACAGGTGGAGATGAACTCTGCACACGCTGAAGAAACAAATACACTTCAGAGTGCACAAAACGTCAGGACGTAAAAGTGATTTCAAAAAGCAGTAATGGCAGAGTGAGCAGAATTACAACACAAGAAGAAATTTAAACTGGCAAGAATTGATGTATCTCAGTTTCAATTCCCCCACTTTTTTCTTTATTCTTTGAAGCTTCTTCCTGAACCAGCACTGTGCTTACTTTTCTTAAAATGCAACCTAATAATTGTTTTCTGGATTTACTTGTTGGACACACAACAAGTGTATTTTCCACAGCTGTTAATTCACAGAAAATCAGTGCGGCCACTTCTCAGTTTGCTCGCTATAACCTCTCCTCCTTCATCTGTAAAGCGGGTCAGTTTTAAAAACAGATGCTGCATTGCTGGATCAGCCCTGTCCGAACTGTTGGAGAGGATAGATTGGATTTATCAAGAGTATTTGCTCAAAACAGACTGTGTATGGCTGTACAACACCTTGGGAAAGGCCAATTAAGCCATATTAAGAGGACAGAACTTCCTGTTGTGCTGTTCAATCTCAATATTGGGAATATCACTCAGGATTGGAAGTATCACGTTTAAATTCAGGCTAATGCTGCAGATTCAGCTCAAATTTAGCTGAAGAAAAGGGCGACAAATAGACCTAAGACCATAATTAAACTTTTTGCACTGGTTGCAAAGATCAAGGCTACTATAGAAAAGATCCATGGGGCTCCAAAAGTCAAAATAACAACTAGGATTTAAGAAGAATATCACGTAACAGTACTCTCACTCCTTGGGACCAGAAATTCATCACTAGGTGAGGAAAGGAGAAAAGTGGGAAGAGCAGCCTTCATATAATAAACTAGCTTCCAACTCCAACTTCCAAGGATTACTTTCATTAGTATAATTTTACAATTCAATGTTTTACCCATCCTAATCAATCTATTAACTGTCAATGTCCCTCTTCCCCCTCCCATGCACATATTCAATGGCAATTTTACTATTTTCTGTGACCAAAATCCCCCCCAAAACAAACCAACAAACCAAAACCAAGCAAAAAAACCCAGTAACCCAAGATTTAATTAAAACTTCTCTTTCTCCCAATATAGTTTACACAGATGAAAATAACTTTCTAGCTAGTTTTAGAACATTGTACTTCCTGGCCATTCATGCAGTCACAATTATTCCTCCTTGAGTAACTACCTGCAACTCTCCTTGCCACCATCCACTCGCATTTTTCTTCAGAATCAGTATCAGCTGTCCTGGGGCAAGACTAAGCTGTTCAGTTCCTGATGCAGCATAGGCAGTAGTAACCTGAGCAATTTCTGAAAAGATAATATATCCATTGTGTTTGTTTTTTGTTTTTGTTTTTTTTTCCATTACAGTAAGAGCAATGTCAACAGAAAATACCCTGGTACGTATCTCTTGCAGCAAAGGCCATTACCCACCACTAAAACACCGCTAACAACCTAAATAATCATAAAGTCACTAAGAAACAGTCCTAAACATTAAAAAGTTATCACACACTTACCGGGTTTCTTATTTATTGTTCCAGTTTTGCCAGCATTACTAGACGCCTACAAAGACACAACAATCATCTTTTAATGTGCAATAAAAACAGTCGAGTTTACACCAACTCTAAGAATGTGGGGAAAAAAGCACGTGGAAATTTTGAGTCCATATTTAAACAAAACAACATCCTGTTTGGAGACAGACAGTGTAACACTCTGGCTACAGCTCTCATTTAGTGCTCAAGCTAATTACATTTTTCTGTCAAGCACATTAATTTCTGCTGAAAATTACTAACAGCTAGGTACCATTGCCAGTAATACAATAAAACTGAAGGAAAGCACCATGTGTGAACTCTCAGAATACAAACTCACTTCTTGATCTTTTGGTCTAACGTAAGCGTGTGAACTCTCAGAATACGAACTCACTTCTTGATCTTTTGGTCTAACGTAATTGGAGGGGAAGATTCCGGTTCTGCCATCGATGCTTCCCGTCCACCATTCCCCTTCCTTCTGGGTCACGAGGATTTCCTCGCCTTCCGTGAAAGTCAAGTCACCAGGCTCAGAGCTCGAATACGAGTAGAGCGCAACGTACTCTGCGCAAACAGCATGTAGAAAGAAGGAGACAATAGTTTCAGACGGGAGGATAAAAGCACGCTGAGGCGCAAGTAAAGGCATCTTTGCTATCGGTGCTCATCAGGATGATCGGAACAGGGATCGCGTCTTCCCAAGTTCGTGAATCAGCCTACCTACTTGCTTGATTGTAATCAAATCATGCTTGCAACTCTGAATTGCAGGTTCAAAACTTAGTAGAGACAAATGAATGAGAGTTACTACCCTACAATCATCCTGCAGGCCAGCAGAGGCCTGTAGATCTAGTCAAGAGGTGGCGTCCCTGCGGCAGGGAGGCTGGATTAAAATGATCTCTAAGGTCCCTTCCAGCTTAGGCCAGGATATGATATGACCACAGCCTGAAAACTCATCTCTTGCATGAAGCATCCACCTTACTCCCATGTTCCACAGAAAGCATGTACATTCCACACTTAAGCATGATTAAAACCATTCTTATTTAACACAGCGAAAATAAAAACACACACATGGAATTCTAATACAACTGGGGAAGCATTGAGATACACTAGATTAAAAGGCGTAGAAAGTGCTTCCCACAAATGTTTCTCCAGTAATATTTGCTTTCTTTACTCCCTACTGATTAAAAGGGAGTGATCCACACTCAGGAGATGAGAAAGCCCTTCTCATGTCTCTACAGTCTCACATAACACAGCAGAGAACAGCAGGAAGAGAACTCTGGGTATGAGGCATATTGAAGTTTTCAGAATAGAGAACAGCAGGAAGAGAACTCAGCTTCTGGGTATGAGGCATATTGAAGTTTTCAGAAATAAATTAATTCTCAAGCAAAAGTCATAAAAACAGAACCAATACCCAGGTCTATGCTTAACCTGAATTAGTTACAAGCTTTGACTAAGTTATTGGTTTAGAATTCTCGTTAACAGTAGTTTAGCATTTGTGCTGTTTTTTGGACAAGCTTTAAAAGGTCAGCTCAGAAATTCTTAAACTTACTCCCACGCTGTTAAGCAGAAACAGACTGTAGCATTAAGTAGCGTATTTCAAGCTGTCTTACCCTCTCCTGCTGCATGAGGTTGTGTGTTAGGCTTTTTGTTTACAGCTGCATAAATAGCTTCTGGTCTGCACAAAAAAAAAAAAAGAAAAAAGTTTAAGTAACTAAAAGGCTGAGCCAGAACAAATCTCTTTTTAGGAAGAGAAAAAGTTGGCTTCAGTCATCTTAAAGTTGGTTTTGCTTATGAATTAATCGCAAAGACTTCCCTGACTGTCAAACGGTGACAGGTATTACTGATATCTAAGATATGAATGGCATCCAAGAGCACACCGCTTCCAAAAAAAATATGGAACGTGCTGAAAGAGAAGGTATATTCCCAAATTACGCTACCATAAAGAAGAACAAATTAAAGATGTTGTCTAAATCCTCCCATTCTAGAGATTTTCTATGAACTTTTATCACAAAGCATGAAAAGAACAATTCACAGACAATGGCGCAGCCATCCCAGCAGTATCCAGACTTTGAATTTCGACCTGATTAGTTATCTTGCAGCGTTGGAATAGACACAATGATCTTTCCAAGCAAAGAAAAATTACACTATTTCTGCGAGATGTGCCTTACCAGCTTACAATTATTTGTAGATAGAAACTGGCACCTTCAGAGGCAGAACACAACTGCGCTGCAAGAGAGCTGAGCCGGTAATGAACCAAAACAAAGGCTGGCACTTGATGAATAATCAAATGCCAGCGATTTTCTTCCTAGCACTCAGCCTTGAACGTCTCACAGTAGCGAGCCCAGCATTACTTGGTTTGCCAGAATGAAATAATAAAAGCCTAAAACGGCCTTGTGTAAATTGCAAACAGTATTTATACTCTGCACTTTAAAGCACTGCAGGAATTTTGTCCTCTAAACCACCTGTTTTTGCAAACTGTTGAACAACAAAAAAAAATAAACCACAAAAAAAAATAATTTCAGGCTTACTCCTCTTTCTTGATTTCGCTTCCAGGTAAGAGCTTGACATACGACTTTGGAAACCAACCCCTTCCTCCATGTACCTCTCCAAACCACCAGTTTTCCTGCTGCTCCAGGACGGTAATGATATCATTTTTTGAAAAGTTCAAGTGGTTATCTTTTTTTGCAGTCCAAGAGCAAAGTGCTTGTGCTTTTAAGTTCTCGACAGGCTGCCCCTGTTAAGACAGAAAAGGAGATGCTGACCAAGCACACTACCCCAACCTGGCGCAAGTCTTAAAAACAAACAGATAAGCACTGATGTATTTTTTTATTGAAGCTTAAGTAACTACATTCCTAAGTGATGGCTCAGTAATTTTTTTTTTTTTACATTGGTGTATACAAGCTGTTGATTAAGGAACAGTCTCTCAACTCCATTCCTTATTAGTTAGAAATATCTTGTGTGTCTAATTAGAGGTGAAAATTATTGTAGAATTATGAAACGTACTGCAGGAGCCTTCTTGCTCAGTAGTACCTGGAAATATAGGGAGTTATGTTGATGCACATTAGTGGAGAATTCAGATTAGCTTAAGCCTCTGGCCTGTTCAGTGCACAAAACTCATGTTTTGGTTTGTTTTCTCTTTAAATCCTTTTCATTAACATGAATCTAAATACAGCAAGCTCTCCACTCTCACACGCTGTACCTGTCCATGAATGGGTGAAACAGATCCAGGGGACACAGTGCGAGTAAAAGCCGATTTCTGTTGCCACGTCGTAGTGACATTCAGGCTAGAAAAAGGTATGTTTTGGTAATCAGCTTCTTCTGCAGTTTTACTTGGTGAAAGTGGTCTGCAAATTAAGCGCAAGCATATTTAACACATTGTAATTTTTATTTTAGAAGCGCCTCAAGCAGAATAACTTTTTGGGTTCTTTCCACATAGAAAGCAAATATTTGATACAATGCGAAGCAGCCTATCAAACACTTAAAATGACAAAGTTAAGACTTTCAAGTAGGTTCTTCAATAAGTTTTCTGCATTTGTATTTTAAAAACAAACACCCAACGAATCTATGCAGAACATTATGCGTCAGCTAAATTTAGAAGCAGCAATTTTATCACAAACACAACAAACTCACTCCGAAGCAGCTGAGGTAGTAGATAAAGATACGGTAGGAGGAAGTAAGGCCTTCTTCGGAGATAAACATTTTTCTCCTTCTGATATTTTTTCTACATAATTACATGGAAACCAACCAAATTGTCCTTGAAAACTCCCATAAAGCCAACCAGGCTCTCCCACAGTTTTTTCATTGACCTATGGACAGGAGGATAAACACAAAGAAAACACAATGAGCAGCGTAAAACAAACGGGGCTGACGCTCCAAATGAAGCAGCGTGAGCAGCACTCATACAAGGATCAGCACTTTCATTCTCCTCCCTTTCAAAAACTGAGCTGATTTCCCTCTGGCCAAGAAATAGGGCGACGACACAATTGCCCTGTTTCTAGACACAGGTAGAGAAAGGCCCAAAAAATGTTATATTTTTTCAAACAGGCCCCAACCTTATATGCTAGGGATCACAGGCTACACCTGGCGCTGCTCTGGATCGCCAAAAATTCTGGTGCATCGAGCTGTATTTTGCCAAACGTGTGGCCAAGAGGGGGCAGCTGGCGAGCCTGGCAGGGCACGGAGACAACCGCTGCAGTTCTGCTTAGAGATATAATTGTGTCATTGGACTACAACCAAAACACGTCCAAAAATTCTGTTGTTTACTATACAATTAAGTGCAGAGCATCCTTAAACATTCACAGCAGTACTGAAGCCCCCACTATGATGCTAATTAGCAAATTTGTTGAAATTGGCTAAAAATTAGCAGCCTGTCAAACACTATCAGCTAGTTAGCTTAGTTGAGGTTTGGGGTACGAGAAGAGGAGCAGGTAGCAGCTGTGAGCCTATTTCTAAACCACATCATTAACTGTTAAGTGACACAATTATATCTGAGAAGGAAGCCAAACCAATATCTACTTCTCCTTTTCCCTCTTTCATGCTTCATTGGTATGAAAATGCTAAAAAGGATCTAACTCTATTAAAGTGAAGCCTAATACTTAAGTGTTCTAATATTTTGTACCACATTTGTAGATCCTACCCTATCACCTATCTTTATTGCTTATAGTCTGAATGAGAAGGAACCTGGCTTGGTTTGATTTATTATTATT